TACGGCCCACGGGCCGGATTCGGCCCGTTTGAAATGAATAAAACTAAAAAAGAAAAATAGTTTTACCCTTTTATGTAATGATGTTTACTTTGAATTTATATTAGTTCACACAAACACTCCATCCATGCTTTTGTTCCGTAGTTTGCCCACGGCTGGGCTAGAGAGCAGTCTGGGCTCACACAGGGATGGAAACCATTGTCTGTGGGTACTACCATGTGCCTGGCACTAGCTAGTTGCTTCTTTCTTTCTTTCAGTTTTAAACTAATTAATTTCCAGCTTTATTGCTAGCTGTTTTTCAAATTTTCTCATTTCAGTACTCACAACACAAACTATGGGGTTGGCATCATCATCCCCATTTCGCAGATGAGGAAACTGAGACTTTGAGAAGTCTAAAGACTTGTTCAGAATTTTCCAGGTAGCAAGTTTGGCACCAGAATTCAAACACAGCAGCTGCTTATTCCAGCTCCCCACCGGAGACCCCACTCCCCACCCTGCCAGGCCTCACCCACCACACCTGGGCCTCCTGGCCCTGCCAGGCTCTACATTCCATCAGGCTAATAGAGGCAGGTGTGAGCAGAGCACACCTGGAGGCGGAGAACCCCGCCTACCAACCCCTGGGCTCTCACCAGGCTGGGTGGCGTGGAGGGGTACTGCTCTGTGTTCCAACTTTGACTTCGAGAGCCAGGCGCTGGCTGGAGGATGGCCCCTCCCAGCCCGGGGGGCTGCCAGCTAAGCCCAGCCAAGAGCGTCAGTCTTCTCTCTCTGACGCACCTAGAAGTTCAGGGCCAAGAGTTATTGAGAAAAAGGTACAACCGAGGACACAGTGCCGTCAATGCCCGGAGATACCAATCTCAAGGTGGAAGGGCTGGCCGTGTCACCTGGGCCACACTCTCCTCTGCTGGGGCATCTTCCACATAATTAGAGAGTTGATGTGTGTGTCTGCTCTTAGGGGTCCCTAAGAGCCTGCTGTGACTTAGGAAGACAAAGAGGCTCATGATTCCACAGTGGCCTCCAGAGCAAGACAGCCTGAGCTCAGATCCCAGCTCTGCCACTTACCTGCTGTGGGGCCTTGGGCCAGTTACTTTACCTGTGTGGGCCTCCTTCCAGGTATAAAGAGAATAATAATAGCACCCACCTTGGGTTTCTGTGAGTATTGTGAGTGTTAACACATGTGAAACATTTAGCACAGTTGGTGCTTAGGAAGGTTAACTACCATCATCACCATCATTATTCATCTCTGAGTCTTCAAGATCCACAGGAACCTGAGCAGGTGCCCAGTAAATCTAGGAAAAGCATGGCCAGCCTCCTTGAGGTGGTACCAGGGGGCTGGGGCAGGAGGGAGCTGGTTATGAGCTCCAGTGTGACCTTGGGCAGGTCCAGTGCCCTCTCTGGACCTCCAACTCCCTCTTGTTCATGTGCAGACATGCAGGCAGGCCCTCCCAGCTCTGAAGCTCAGTGACTAGACATTTTTGGGGAAGAAGTTACCTGCTCTGGGCCAGGTGCTTGGTGATGCCTTGATATCGGATTTGGAGGGGGCTCGGGGCCCCTGGGCAGGCCAGTCTCTTGGAGGAGTAATTGGGTCTTACTGGTTACTTGGTTTCCCCTGTGCATTCCCCCCGCAGGCTGTAAGTTCCAGAGGTGAGCTGTGCTCTCTCGGCACTCTGCAAAGCTCAGCCTCTTGGTGCCAAGCAAGCTCTTCCTCCTTCTTCCACACTCAGGTCGGGCTCCACCTCCTCCAGGAAGCCTTCTTGATCCAGGCTGAGTCAGCTGCCTTCCTCGGCCTCCTCAGGGCCCCTTGTCATGCGATGTTGGGTTTGGGGTCTGTCTCCCTGCCAGATAAGCTCTCTTGGGGGTGACCTGTTGCTGGGTCCCTGGCACTGTAGAGGGGAAGTCCTTGATGAACGAATGGATGAGTGAATGAAAGAATGCGTGGAGGCCACCTCAGACTCCAGGGATCTTCGACACTGTCTGCCTAAAGGGATGGGATGTGCTGAGGGAAGCACAGAGAACGAGGAGCCACAGGATTAGGACCCAAACCCCGGCTCTGCTGTGTCCTCACTGAGCAGGCTCTCCCACTGTGAGCCTCAGTTTCCTCATCTGTCCAAAGTGGCCAATTCTCGCTGCCGCACAGGCAGGCCCCCAGGGAAAGTGGGTTCCCCGAGGTACTGGAGACAGTGTGGTGTGGCACTAAGGGGTCAGTGCTCAGAGGGTTTCAGTTCAGTCCTTCTGACTGGGTCAGGGGGGCTCTGTGCAGGGCCGGTGTCTCGGAATCCTCTCTGCCATTCGCTGTTCCGTCCTGTTAGCAAAGTGAAGCAGGGCTCTGGCTCTGAACTCTCCCAGGTACCAGCATCTAAAGAAATTTTAAAAACTGTGTTCTGTCTTTATTATATTTGTTATTCTGGTGCCGTCTGTTTATAGCAGCCATTTCTCAGATGTGATGTGGCTTTTCTTTTTTAAATTTGCTGACCTAAGCAATCGTGTCAGGCAGTGGAGGGGTTAAGCCCAGGGCCTGAGGGGGGTCCAGTGATCCAGGTTCAAACTCCAGCTCTGCCTCTTCATTGCTGTGTGCACTCAGGCGGTTCTTCTTGCCTCAGTTTCCCTAGCTGTAGAGTTTAAGGATAGCACTGGAACCCCTGTCTGGCCTAAGGGCTGTTATGAGGGTTGGTGGGTATAAAGTGTTTAGACCTGGAACAGTGGCATAGTCAAGGTTACCTTCTGCTATGAAGATGTTTTATTTTATTAATATTTTTTAAAAATATATTTTATTGATTTTTTACAGAGAGGAAGGGAGAAGGATAGAGAGTTAGAAACATCAATGAGAGAGGAACATTGACCAGCTGCCTCCTGCACGCCCCCCACCGGGGATGTGCCCGCAACCAAGGTACATGCCCTTGACCGGAATTGAACCCGGGACCCTTCAGTCCGCAGGCCGATGCTCTATCCACTGAGCCAAACAGGTCAGGGCTATGAAGATGTTTTAAAAAGTGGGTTGATGCCCAGCCAGTGTGGCTCCATGGTTGAGCATCAACCCATGAACCTGGAGGTCACAGTTCGATTCTCAGTCAGGACACATGCCCAGGTTGCAGGCTCAAACCCCAGTAGGGGGCGTGCAGGAGGCATCTGGTCAATGATTCTCTCTCATCATTGATATTTATATCCCTCTCTCCCTCTCCCTTCCCCACTCTGAAATTTTATATATATATTCTTTTTTTTTTTAAGTGGGT